GGGATCACTGCTTAAGGCCAGTCCAGGCAGGAAAAGTCAGTGAGCCTTTTATCTCTGATTAACCAGCAAAAGCCAGAAGCAGAGGCATGGCTTAAGTGGTAGAGTGACAGCCTGAAGCTTAAAAAAAAACAACTAAAGACTGTGGCTAGGCCCTGAGTTCAAGGCCCAGGACTTGTGTATGAACACACAAACACCCACCCACCCCCACCCTCACCCACACACACAAAAGTCTGAAAAACTGGAAAGAGCTTTTGGCTTATAAGTTTTTAATAATTACTAAAACATGGAGGAATCTGGAGAATGGATTGTGCTGAATTCCTGCCAGAAGCAAATCCCATCTTCAGATGACACTCATTCATATAGCGTTGGGGAGAATGCTTTTTTTGCTTTGTTTTGTTTTGTTTTTCTTCAGCAAAGAGAATTATGTGACAAACCAGAAACAGAGCTCTGAATTTCTTTTTTTCCTTTTGGTTTGGATCAGTTATCAAAATGGGAAATATCTGTATGGGGGTGGGGTGGGAGAGGAATCCATTTTGCTCTCCTAGCAGAAACTATATTATCAGCAAGTTCCCCCTTTATCAAACATGGCAAACCCTAGTGGAAAGTCTAATGATTATACAATAGGTTTCATAAATTCAGCCTGTCATTTCTTTGTTCCTTGTTTTGTCTGTGTGCCAGTCCTGGGGCTTGAAACCAATGCGTGCATGTGGTCTCTTAGCTTTTGTGCTGAAGACTGGTACTCTATCTCTGGAGCCACTCCTCTACTTGTAGTGTTTTGCTGGATCATTGCAGATAAGAGTCCCATAGACTTTCCTGCCTGGGCTGGCTTCAAGCTGTGATCCTCAGAGCTCAGCCTCCTGAGTAGCTGGGATGACAGATGTGAGCCATGGGTACCTGACCTCTTTGTTTTTTAAGAGACAATTTTACAGTTTTCTAACAGAATTTGAGGGTCACTGTGTTCTGAGGATAGAATGAGAGGCATAGGAATTTGGAAGGGAAGACAAAACTACCCAAACTAACAAAAGCAGAAGAAAAATAAACACATACACTTAGTTTGTATCAAGTGAAAATGAAAAAAAAACAAGAACCCATAATGCCAGATATAGATATCCTCTGTTACTCTGTTATAAAGGCAAAAAATGACACAAGTTAGTGGCTCATACCTGTCATCCTAGCTACTCAGGAGGCTGAGATCTGAGGATCATCGTTTGAAGCCAGCGCAGGTGGGGAAGTCATGAGACTCATCTCCAGTAAATCACCAACTATCTGGGCTCAAGGCCTGGCTGTAGAGGTCAAGCAGCAAACCTGAGCAAAAATAGATTGTGGCTCAAGGCACTAGTACACCCACACACACAGAGACAGAGAGAGACAGAGAGACAGAGAGACAAAGAGAGAGTAAAGCTAGCAGGAAATTGTGGGTGACACTGTTAAATTATCACCTGTTGATCTCTTGAAGGAAGTCTCAATAGTAAGCAGTTATTTTGGTAAGACTCTCGAAAAAAAATAAGGTGTAAGGGGCTTTTTATCTTCCTCATGCTCTAGTGCTTGCTTGAAACTGAGAGACTAGAGTAAGTACAAAAGAAATTGCAGGGAGCATCTGTGTGCAGCCAGAGGTGCCCATGACTTTTGGGTAAATGTGGAAGGTAACTGGTGAAGAGGGTACATAGGCATACTCTGCTAAGTAATGTCCTTAAATGGTTGGGCCATTGGTGTTTCCAGGAAGAATGCATGCAAATTCCATTCCAGCTAGAGACCCTGTGTGTTTGGGTTAATGTTACAATGAAAAACTTCCATAAAGATTGCTTGCTGTGTTAATATCTATCTATCTATCTATCTATGTATAGTATAACATGTATCATAACATCTCATACACATGTTTCATACAGTAGATCATACTAAATAATATAGTATTTATATAGGATATCTAGCAAGACTATATACTACATTACATACTATCTATTATATATTTTAGCATATACTATATTTATATTATGATATACAGTATATATTCTTTAAGATATATAATACAGCATCATATAGTATATATATTCTTTAAGATATATAATACAGCATCATATAGTATATATGTTATATATGCTATATATCATACATAGATTTATATTTTATATTATAACATACATCATATGCTGTTTTATTTTATATTGCTTTTAATTTTAATTGGTATCTTATTACATATGTTTATATTTTAGGTTAAATATATTTCTTATCATATAGTATAATATTTGATATATAGTAGATAGTATTCTTTTCTATTATATGTTATATAAAATAATATGTAGATTATCTAATTGATTATATTACACTTTACATAATAGAGCTTATATCATAATATTTATAAGATAAAATACAATATGTATGTAAAATTATAATATATAACATAATGTACTATAGTATGTAATACAAGAGTATATGTAGAGGCTGGGAAGGTGGCTCAATGGTAGAGCACTTGCCTTGCATGCCTGGGTTTGATTCCTCAGCACGACATAAGCAAAAATGAAAAAAGCTGGAAGTGGCGCTGTGGCTCAAGTGGTAGAGTGCTAGCCTTGAGCTGAAGAGCTGAGGGACAGCGCCCAGGCCCAGAGTTAAGGCCCCACGACTGGACCAAAAGAAAAAAAAGAGTATATGTAGTGTAATATTATGTAGTGTAATGCAGTATACACTGTTATATCATGTTATACACAGTATATATTAATGAGAGCATATACTAGATATTATGTCATATATTATGACATATTTATCGCAGCTATTATATATTATATGATCACGATGGGGTTTGAACTCAGGGGCTGGGCGCTGTCTCTTAGCTTTGTCTCTCAAAGCTGGTGCTCTACCACTTGAGCCACAGTGCCACTTCTGGCCTTTGCTCTGTACCTGGTACTGAGGAATCAAACCCAGGACTTCATGCAAGCGAGAACTGTCTTCCTTCTATGTCTTTCATTAGATTCAAATCTCCTATTTCTATGTTTCAGTGAAAGATCTCTCAGGAAAATTCCTAGGAATTTTGTTACCCATCACAAGCAGCAAATTTTACTGCTCTGTGCTCATTAATGCTGTTCTGCTTGCAACTGTACTTGGACTTGTTGCTGTGCTTACGGCAGGTGAGTGGCTTCCAATGCAGAATGTGCGGTAGGCCTGGGGTCTGGGCAGGGAAAGGAATGGTTGATGAGCAGCTAATCCATTTTCTCTGTGTTAGTGAACACAACAGAAAGCCGCATTCCCGAGACAAGGCTGTTTTCCTCTTGCCCAGGAGACTGGATTGGATTTGGGAATCAATGTTATTATTTTTCTGATGATGTAAGGAACTGGACGTCCAGTCAGGCCTTCTGTGCATCCTTTGGTGCCAATCTGGTCAAGTTTGACAGCAAGGAGGAGTTGGTAAGAAATGCTTTTGGGGCTCCTCTTTTCTGTGACATGCTAAAAGACACCCCGAAATTAGACAGCTTGTGTAAGGCAAAAGCTAAAACAGAATGAAGGGGCCAGTGCCAGTGGCTCACACCTATAATCCCAGCTCCTCAGGAGGCTGAGATCTGAGGATCATGATTTCCAAGCCAACCTGTGCAAGAACCTCACTGAGACCCTTGTCTCTAGTTAACCAGCCAAAAAGAGCTGGAAGGAGAGCTGTGGCTCAAGTGTTAAAGACTTGAACAAGAGAGCTCAAGGACAGGACTGGGAATGTGGCTTAGTGGTAGAGTGCTAGTCTTGAGCAAAAGCAGCTCAGGGACAGTGCCCAGGCCCTGAGTTCAAGCCCCAGTACCAGTATATACATACACATGAAAAGAAAAAGGCAAAGAAATAATTCCACCTAATAAATAGCTACTCAGAAGATGAGAAGTGAGATCACAGTTCAAAACCAGCCCCTGGCCTGGGGGAAAAGAAAAGGAAAAAGAAAATCATCTGAAAGATAAGGACTCCTATTTTCAACTTACTGTGTTTGATTACAGAATTTCTTGGAAAGACACACAGATTCATATGACCGTTGGATTGGCCTTAGAAGAGAATCTCCACAGCATAGTTGGAAGTGGGCAGACAACACCGAGTTCAGCAACTTGTACGTATCAGCCATCTTTTTGTTTGTTTGATTGTTTTGTGCCAGTCCTGGGGCTTGAACTCCAGACCTGGGTGCTGTCCCTGAGCTTCTTTGGCTCAAGGCTAGCGCTCTAGCACTTGAGCCACAGAGCCACTTCCAGCTTTTTCTGTGTGTGTGGTTCTGAGGAATTGAAGCGAGAGCTTCATGCATGGTAGACAAGCACTCTACCACTGAGCCACACTCTCAGCCCCAGTCTGTGAGACCTTCATCTTCCCTTTACCACCAAAACCCTGGAAGTGGGGCTGTGGCTCAAGTGCTAGAGCGCAAAAGCTCAGGAACAGAGTGCAGGTCCCTGAGTTCAAACCTCTAGACCAGCGCTCACACACACACAAAAACTAAAAACCAAAACCAGAATGGAGGTGCAAAAAATAGTGGCAAAGCCAGGCACGGGTGCTCACACCTGTCATCCCAGGAATAAGAGGCTGAGATCTGAGGGTCATGGTTCAAAACTAGCTGGTTCAGGAAAGTCCGTGAGACTATTATCTCCAATGAACCACTGGAAGTGGTGCTGTGGCTCAAGCGGTAGAGTACTGGTCTTGAGAGCTGAAGAGCTCAAGTTATGCCCAAGCCCAGAGTTCAAGCCCGATGACCGACAAAAAAATAATAATGGCAAAAAACAAGTATAAACTGGGTGCCAATGTCTCAATCCTAGAATGCTAAGCACTCAGGAGGCTGAGATCTGAGGTTTGAGTTTTTAGGCTAGCCTGGACAGGAAGGTATGTGATACTCTTTCTCTCCAATGAACCACCAGAAAAATAGAAATAGTGCTGTGGTTCAAGTCGTAGAGCACCTGCCTTGAGCTCCGGCCCTGAGTTCTAGCTCAGACCTGGAAAAAAGTAACAATATATAATACTGCAATATGAACATGTGCTATTTCTCTGCTTGTTTCTAGGGCTGAGGTCAGGGGAACTGGGGAGTGCGCCTATCTGAACGCAGTGCATATGAAAGCAGAGGGCATCAGCAGCACGGACAGATACAGGAAGCTGAAGTGGATCTGCAGCAAGTCCAGCAGCTATGTGCAGTGTGCAGCGACCTCGGGGTCCTTTCTGCATGGGGTCTCCTGGCTGGGGCTCACGCCTCTCATCCTGACTGGGCAGATATATGTATGCAGATATTTTATTAGAATATCTACATATTCTGTATAGATATAGATAGATAAATACATAGATAGATAGATAGATGGATAGATAGATAGATAGATAGATAGATAGATAGATAGATAGATAGATAGATAGATAGATGTATATAATAAAATACTGCCCTACCTGGAGGAATGTGCACCCTGACAGGAAAGAGAAAGCTGCCTTCTGCAGAAAGCCCCTGGGCCAGAGGCAGCAGTCAGCTCCCTTTTCATAGCTCATGTTGCCTGCCCTGCCTCTTGGTTAAGCTGAGGCCTCTCTGCTCCCATTGGCTGAGCTCAGGTTCACAACCTGCAGAAGAATGTAGCTTCATGACTTCTTAGTCACTGGTCACTCCCGCCTGTAATCCCAGCGACTCCATAGCTCCCAGCCAGCCCTGGCAGGAAAACTGATGAGACTCTTATCTCCCATGAACCACCAAAAAGCCAGAAGTGGAGCTGTGGCTCAAGGGGTAGAACGCCAGCCTTGGACAAAAGAGCTCAGGGACAGCGTCCAGCCCCTGAGTTCAAAGCTTACGACCTGCACGAGAAAGAGAGAGAGAGAGAGAGAGAGAGAGAGAGAGAGAGAAAGACAGAGAGAGAAAGACAGAGAGAGAAAGACAGAGAGAGACACACAGAGAGAGACAGAGACAGAGACAGAGAGACAGAGACAGAGACACACAGAGACAGACAGAGACAGACAGAGACAGAGAGACAGAGAGAGAAAAAGAAAAACAGAGAGGCAGAGAGAGAGACACAGAGAGAGAGAGGGAGACAGAGTCAGAGACAGAGAAACAGAAAGAGGAAAGGAACAGTAAAGAGGTTAATTGCTGATCTCCTGTATCCTGTGACTTAAAAAAAAGGTCTACCTTTAACTTACAAAGCATCAAGTTGTAATTCAAGAATGTTCTTCACTAAGTCTTCGCACAGCCTTTTGTATTTTGTTTCTTCTCCTTCTATTTCTCCTACTCCTTCTTGTGCCACTCCTGGGGCTTAAACTCAGCACTCGGGCACTGTCTCTGAGTTTTGTGTTCCAGGCTGGTGCTCTACCACTTGAGCCACAGCTCCATTTCTGGCTTTTCTCACCGTCTCCTTGGAGATAAGGATCTCATAGGCTCTCCTGCTTGAGCTACCTTGGAAATGCAATCTTCAGATCTCAGCCTCCTGAGTAGCTGGGACTATAGACGTGAGCACTGGTGCCTGGCACTGTCCTGTATTTTGACAGAGATCCTGTGAACACACCTTCACAGTCACAGAATCTCAGTATTAGGACTGTGTGCAGGGAGCTGGAAGAACCTCTGGCAATGAACAAAGTTGCAACGGGAGATGCAAAATCCACATTATGTGTGGAAAGAAAGGAGAGAAAGGAGAGAATGAGAACAGAGGGAAGAAAGGTGGGAAAGGTTAAATCGCCCAAATGATAACGATCCAGGGCCGAGCTTTATGAATATGCTTCACCTAGATCCACAAAGCAAAGGGACACCAACTCAAAAACACGAGAGGAAAGCACAAAGTCCAGAAGAACACAAAAACCAAAGTGCAAAAAAACCAAGCCACTTACCCGGAGGGTGCGTGGAGGAGGTGGCACTCTCTTGAGCAGGGCCCTGGCTAGACTGACTATGAGGGAGCATCTATGAGGGAGGAATCCATGACTGGAAGAAGAGGTCACATTCTAGAAGCAAAGGTTCAGTGTGAGACAGAAAACATCAGCCGGCGGCAGTTGCGTGGGAGAGTGGTTTGCTGTCTGCCTCCGGCCCACACCCACAAGAGACAGAGGCTGGACCATACGTGTTGGACTGAAGGCCTCTGACACCTGATTTTTCTGGAATGACATTCTAGAACATCTTGATTGTTCTTTATTTTTGTTAGTTTTTTTCTTTTTAGTGCCATACCTGGCACTTGCACTTGAACTCAGGATCTGGGTACGATCCCTGAACTCTGTGTGTGTGTGTGTTTGTGTGTGTTTGTGTGTGCACTGGTTGTGGGACTTGAACTCAGGTTCTGGGCATTGTCCCTGAGCTTCATTTTGCTCAGGGCTGGTGATTCTACCACTTGAGCTACAGCTTTATTTCCAGCTATTTCTGTAATTCATTGGAGACAAAGGTCTCATGGACTTTCCTGTCTGGGCAGGCTTTGAATCATGATCCTCTGTTCTCAGCCTCCTGAGTAGCCAGGAATACAAGTCTGAGCTCCAGTGCCTGGCTCCTGAGCTTTTCTACTCAACACTGGCATTCTACTACTTGAGCCACAGCTCCACTTTGACTTGTGGTACTTATTGGAGATAAGAGTCTCATGGACTTCCCTGCTTGGGCTGGCTTTGAACTTTGGTCCTCAGATTCAGCGTCCTGAGTATCTGGGATGACAGGTGTGAGTCATTGGTGCTTGGCTTTGTTCTCATTCTTATAATGACCTGTGTGAGAGATTTTTTTCAGGAAGAAGAGAAAAATTAGTGTAGTGAGGAACTTGTGTAGAGTTAAGATAGAAGGAGAGCCCCTCTCCCAAAAACTCAATTCTTGAGGGTTTTTTTGGGGGTCAGGTCGTAGGGACTGGATTCAGGGGTTAGGCATTGTCCCTCAGGTCTTCAGCTCAAGGCTAGCGCTCTACCTCTTGAGCCACAGCACCATTTCTGGCTTTTTTCTTTTTGCTTATGTGGTGCTGAGGAATCGAACCCAGGGCCTCATGCATGCAACGCAAGCGCTCCACCACTGAGCCAACTTCCCAGCCCTCAATTCTTGAGATTTTTGTATACTATTTCACCCAGTGTTGTGAAAACAGAATGTCATATTTTTTTTTGTCAGTACTGGGGCTTGAACTCTTAGCTCCTTTTACTCAAGGCTAGTACTCTACCACTTGATCCACAGTGCCATTCTTGGCTTTTTCTGTGTATGTGGTACTGAGGAAATCTACCAGGGCTTCATGCAGGCTAGGCAGGCACTCTACTTCTAAGCCACCTTCTCAACCCAAAAGTTGTGATTTTTTTTTTAAGCCAGGCATTGGTGACTCATGCCTGTGATCCTAGCTACTCAGAAGGCTGAGACCTGAGAATCAAGGTTCAAAGCCAGCCTGGGAAGGAAAACCCATGAGATTCTTATCTCTAGTTAACCACTCTGAAAAAAAAACAGAAGTGCCACTGTGGCTCAAGTGGCAGAGTGCTCACTTTGATTTGAAGAGTTCTTGAGTTCAAGCCCCGTGACTGACCAAAAGAAAAAAAGAAAAGGAATCAAAGTCAGGAGATCATAGAAATCGTGCCTAAACATGCCATATTTATTTCTTTGTTGGTAGGTGGTGGGGCTTGAACTCTGGGTCTAGGCCTGTCCCTAAGTTCTTCACCTCCACTTGGGTGCTCTACCACTTGAGTCACAGTGCCACTTCCGGTTTTCTAGTGGTTCATTGGAGATAAGAGTCTCTCGAACTTTCCTTGCCCGGGCTGACTTTGAACTTCTAATTTATGTATCTATGCAGAACCTAAATATGTTTGCGTGATATGGTCACTCCACAGTAAAGCCTGGATCTGAGATCCTGTGCCTCTTAAAAGCTGTCTGGAAACCCTCACAGGTAGCTGTGCTGCATGGGAAGCTCACCAAAGGTCAGGTTCCTAGTCAGACAGGAAACTGCCTTTGCACACCCCAGTGCTCCACAGGCCGCCCTGGCCTGCAGTATGGAAATGGTGTTAACCCCTTCTGTGCCCAAATTACTTCAGATCCAACTTCTACCTAGATGGAAGAAACCCTGCATGGTTGTTCTCAGCACTCTGACAACTGAGAAATGATCTGGCATTTCTGCCTGGGTGCATAGTTCTAGAATAAAACCTATATCTCTTCAATCCTAAGTTCTAGGTTTCAGATTCATCTAGATCCAAGAATCCACAGGACTACTATACCTATAAACTTCTAGAAGACCTAAGAAGTCACCTCAAGGAAAAGGGGGCTTAAGCAGATCTCCTGGATGGTTTGGTCAAGTTTCAAGTTGTTTTCTTTTGTTTTGTTTTTTGGTCGGTTGTGGGGCTTGGACTCTGGGTCTGGGCGCTGTCCCTCAGCTCTTCCGCTCAAGGCTAGACCTCTACTGCTTGAACCACAGCGCCACTTCCGGTTTTCTGGTGGTTCATTGGAGACCACAGTATCGCGACTTTTCCTGCCTGGGCTGGCTTTGAACTGCGATCCTCAGATCTCCGCCTTCTAAGTAGCTAGGATGACAAATGTGAGCCACCAGCGCCCAGCTAGGTCTCACGTTTTAAGGAGCATTTTTAAATATGTTTGTAAAAACCTATGTTATGTACTTTCTTGAGTTTTATTCCCTGGGCTAAGTTGGAAAAAACTTCATTTTGACAATGTGCCCAGCATTCTGCGAGGGAGGACGTTTGGGCTAATAACACTTGAGGCCACTGACTGGGAGGCAACCAACTGGCCCTTGAGACCAGATATACACGGGGCAGCTCCAAAAGGTACCAAATTGCTTTGTGGGACCAAACTCTGGTCCTGGCTGCCCCCGCTGCAGGGTGAAGAGGATGCTGTACTAGAGGCTTTCCCGGGATGCAGGGAAGATGGGTCCCAACTTTAGCAAAGCCTGCACACTTGCCAGCATTACAACACAGGTGGGCCAGGTCTGTTTACCACTACTGTGATCACCTGGCCTCTGTCTTGATTTCCATCTACTGGTCTGAAAGACATCATGTGACATATGAATCCTCCAAGAAACATGTGCAAAAAGTCTTCAGGGACACTGTTAAAATTTTGTCTTTGTTAAATTCAGAGGTAAAAGTGATGAGGCAAAACAGTATGGCTAAAGCCAGAACTAGTTGGCTCATGCCTGTCATCCTAGCTACTAAGGAGGCTAAGATCTGAGGATCACGGTTCAAAGCCAGCTTGGGCAGGAAGTCCATGAGATTGTGAACTGTAATAAACCACCAGAAAACTGGAAGTGGTGCTGTGGCTCAAGTAGTAGAGCTCTCCCTAACATAAAGAGTGCAGGGACAGTGCACAGGCCCAGAGTTCAAGCTCCACCACTGACAAAACAACAAAGAAACAAGCAGTATGGCTTTAGACAGCCTTACTGCAGCCCAAGGAGAAACCTGTGCAATTATAATGGTGAAATGTTCTATGTAGTAAACAACTCAAACAACATCTCCTCATCCCTTCAGGAAGTACACGCTCAGATTAATGTTATGTCTGACCCTGTTCTTAGGTTTACTGAGCTTCTCACCTCGTTTTCTGGAGTTATTTGATGGGGGAAAAATTGCTGTTTTTCCCGATGGCATTAATATGTGGGGAATATTAATTACTGCACCTTGTATTGTTTCTGTGGTTTATTATCCTCCCTCATTTCTCGTCTGGCTTCCTTTCCAGTTCAGAGTCAAAGGATGCTGCTAATGATGTCTGATCTTAGCAATCCAACAAACCATCTTCCCATGTTACCCCGCAATAGACCTAACTGCAGATCCCGAGCTAGGTAGGATCAACACCCCAACTCAGTTTGAAGGAGCTACGAAAGATGCATCTTCACCCCCCATCTTCCCTTAAGATCAAGGGACCCAAGTCATTTAGGGGAAAATGAGAATAACCTAGGGAGAATGAGGCATGGGAAATGGCTGCCAGGGAGTCACAGCCTCAAGCTTAAAGCTTGTCCATCCTACTTCCCTGAAGGTTAAGGGAACAAAGCCATTTTAGGGGAAATGAAGCTGCACAGACTAGGGACAATGAGGACTGATCAGCTTACAGCAAATACAGGAGATATTCCTTCATGGACTTCCCTGAAGATTAAGGGAACAAAGCCATTTTACCAGACATGAAGCAGGACAATTTAAGGAAACTGAGGCCTGGGAAGGCAACTCAAAAATATGGTATTTAGAAACAGAAATTCCATCTTTGCTTCAAACAGTGAGGACTGAATGCATTCTTTCCTGTAGGATGCATTTCTCACCCAAGAATTCACAACTGTCTGACAAGATGCCCCAAAACACAGATAGCAGGGTGTCTCCTTGCTTAGAGGGTAAGGATGTGTTTCATGGCAGGATGCATTGTGCCTGGAAACTCAGAGAACAGCACCAGGTGGTGTTAGAGCAAAGACAAAACACCTAGCTTTACCTAACCTTAAGGCCAGACCCCTGACCTTACCCTATAAATACCCACCTGCCCAAGGAGCTGTGTGTCTCTCTGGGTGTCTCCTTGTGTGTGCGTCTGTCTCTCTCTGCATGATTGTCTGCCTCTCTCTGTGCCTGCGTGCAAATGTGTGCATATGTGTGTGTGTGTGTGTGTGTGTGTGTGTCTGTGTCTCTTCTCTCCCTAGGACAGCTCCCACACCCTGCTAGCATGTGCCCCTATCCTTCTGTTGGTCTTTTTGTCTGTCTGCTTGCCTGCTTGTAATGTGTCCATAAATTCTTATTCAGGATTGAAGTGAAGGCCCCTAAGTGAAGAGTTCCCATATTTAAAGGGGAGCTTCACTAACCCTCACCTCCATCTGGTGACCCTCCCTCAAATGAGGGAAGCCATGGAGCCTGGGTTTCTCTGGGCCTCGGGTGCAAGGCCTCTGTGCCTCTGATCCTATCCAAGCACACTTACCCAAATGAACTCCAGGAAATGGAAACAAAATGGGGTTCTGTGTTTTGTCTTGTGTGTGGGTATCTCTGTGTCTGGGAGGGTAAGGGGAGACATAGAAATGGGGGTGTTAGGTGTTCTTAAAAAGAAGTAACAGAGTAAGAACAGCACCACACACATGGTATTCAGGTAAGGGGTAGGTTTATTCATCATTCTGGCTGGCACCAGGTCATGTTGGTCCCCCACGTGGCTGGGAAAGCCCTGGGAAAGAGAGAGAGCTGGGAAAGAGAGAGCTGGGAAAGAGAAGACAGCAAAAAAAAGAGAGCGCCTGGGCCTGATCTGGGCCTTATCTTGGGTAAGGGCGGAGAAAGTTTTGTGGCCACATCAAATTCAGATGTGACCTCAGCAGATGCAGATGTGACCTCTTCCAGGTGTGCCAGTCGCCTAGGTAACACAGATACTGGGTGGAGACTTTGTTGTGAGGAGTCTGGAATCTGCTGGTCATCCAGGAGTGGACCTTACAGGGGGGACCAAGGGAAGTCAAATGTATCCATGGTCCTCACAGGACACTATGTGGAAAATGAACTCTATAATATGTGGGTGGGAATGGGAGGAAAAACTATGTGAGAGAGAGGGAAGGAGGACACTGTCCAAAAAGAAATGAACTCATATTTTTGTTTGTGGATTTTTGGTTGTTTTTTTTTTGCCAGTCTTCGGTCTTAAACTCAGGGCCTGGACACTGTCCCTGAGCTGCTTTTCCTCAAAGCTAGTACTCTACCACTTAAACCACAGTGCCACTTCTGGCCTTTTCTGTGTATGTGGTAACTGACTAATTGAACCCAGGGCTTCATATATGCTGGGTAATCACTTTGCCACTAAGCCAACTTCCAGACCAAGAAATCACTCTTTACCTGGCTCATGTCATTGTCACCAGTCTGTCTATCACCTTTATGATGACAATTTATAAAATGGATAAAAATAAATCAGTTTTCCTCTTAGTTGCTATACTTGCAGTTCCCAATGGAGGGCGCTGTAGTACTTTTTGTGGAGAGAGCCATAAACTTGGCAATATATTTAACCCTTTGCTTCTTTGGAGGTAATTTACTAGGGGATTATTTCACTCATCGTTATGCATAAGTAAAGGGTAAGAATGAATTTGTGATTCTTAATGTGAAAATTCAGGTACAGGGCTGGGAAGGTGGCTCAGTGTTAGAGGGCTTGCGTAGCATGCATGAAGCCCTGGGTTTGATGCCTCAGTACTATTTACACAGAAAAAGCTGCAGGTGATGCTGTAGCTCAAGTGGTAGAGCACGAGCCTTGAGCAAAGGAAGTCCAGGGACAGCACCCAGGCCCTGAGTTCAAGCCTCAGGACTGATCAAAAAAAAATTCATGCATATTCAATCCTGCCCATAGTAACTATACCAGAAATGCCAAGACAAAGGAAGTAAAGGAACACAAGACAAAGACATTATTGCCTGAAGCTGGTCTAATGCTTCCAAAGTGCATCTTATCTCCTGGTTAGATTCTCTGGCTCAATTTAAGCACACCAAAGCTTGATTTGTTTATTATTCATTGCTTGTTCCAGCATGGGGCTTGGATTCAGTGCCTGGGCACTGTCTCAGTATTTTGCTCAAGGTTGGTGCTCTACTACTTGAGCCACAGCTCCACTTCTGGATTTATTTTGGTGGTTAACTGGAGATTCCAATGAAACAGGCCCAGCACTGGCAGCTCATACCTATCATCCCAGTCTCAGGAGGCTGAGATTTGAGGACTGTGGTTCAAAGCCAGCTGGGGTAGGAAAGTTCATAAGATTCTCATGGCCAATGAGCCACAGAAAAGTTGTTCAAGTGGTACAGCACCAACCTTGAGAGAAAAAAACAGGACAAGGGCTTGGACAGTGTCCAAGGTCTAGGACTGACACAAACCAAATAACAAGACTCTTGGGGACTTTCCCACCCTGGCTGGCTTTGGACTGTTGCCCTCAGATACAGATCACCATGGAGTTTCTCTCTCCATTCTGGTTCTCTGGGTTCTGGGTTTTGGAGATATAATTATCTCTGTTGTAAATTGGAGGGAGCCACTGGCTTCCATAGGAAGGGCCTTGTGGCTTCCTGGTCCAACCTGGCCCTTGTCCTCATTTGGGGATGCTCTGCTGCCCCATGTGGCTCTACTGTTCCTCACAGGTCA